GGATTTGGGTCCCCCCCCCCCCCCCCCTCTCCCGGCACACATGACTGGTCTGGGAAAAGTAGGAGGAAGGTTCCGGGAGACGCCTGAGGAATGGAAAAGCTAGGAGAACACGGTAGCTGTAACTTGGACATCGGAAGTGGGTTGAAGAGGCGGGAAGTGATATCGATAGGATATGCATAGATACATGGGAATAGGGAAGACATTGTGAGCCACCTTTTGGCAAAGTAGGAAGGAACGACTGGCCATTGGTGATCGGTCCGGCGGGAACAATGCTCCGTCCTCTCGAGGACGCGTGGTCAATGGTTCTAAACCGCTAAGGCATGCGAAACATAAGAGTACGCCCCCTCCCCCCGCCGGTTTAGGTTTAACCCTCAGAGGGCGCAAAAGCCCGTAGATGGGAAGAGTCACTAAATAGCAGACCGTAAAGACCACTGCTGTGTGCTGGACGACTCCCCCCCCCTTCTCACAACAACAAGGCACACTCTGTGGGAGACGGCACCTCTCTGTGTCGAATAGTACACCTGGCAGCCTGGCGCGTTGGTGCTTATAGACGCCGTGTTCAACCTATTTTCTCCCTCCCGATGCTTTGATCTTCCCGCGTGGACTCTACGAAACGAAGAACTACTATTTTAGGATTTGATTGACTCAACATGAGCCCAGCACGTCCCCCCCCAATTCACGGTGAAGACTTAAACTCATTCCCTTCAACTACTGCTGTGGTATTGTCTCGAACGGGCACCGTAGGTTGCATAAGATGTCACACCCCCCGGACCGATTTTCAAAGCTGGATTTCTCCACGACGAAGAGGATGCCGCAATTGAAGCATAGGTTTTCGGAAAGCTCTCGAAGAGACGGTTCCAACGCCGCGAAATTCGACACCGTCCCTGCTTTTCCTGCCAAGACATCGAGTTTCGAAAATCTGCCCAGGGGGTGTGATATCACATCATGCAACCTATGGTACATAGTCTTTCTTTGACTGATTGGATGCACAGTAGTCGTGGTCCCGGTTTACTGGTGGTGCCTTCCCTGTTCAGCAGGATGCCCTGAATAGCGGTTCGAGAATCTCGTGAAACACAGCTGCACCTCGGTAGTCAAGCTACAGTCCTACTTTACAACTGCCATTCCAGTTTAGCGGCGACGCCCCCCATAGCGGTCATATCAGTTTTTCGACACTACGGATCGCTAAAACGGGACCACGGCTGCCGTGTATTTCTTGGCAAAAGATGAAAGAACTGCCGTCGTTGACGTCGTGTGCTGTCGACGGTTGTCTGCACCCCCTCTCGATCTCGTGAACCGACACGGCAGTTGGACACACTCTGCCTGTTTACGAAGTTTGTTTTCGTACCAATTGTCGCGACGCTCATTGTGAAGTCTTGTGCAAAGGGTGGGGAAAAAGCCGTGTTAATGTTTTTGATGGAATCGGCGACATGATGACCACGTTTACTGAAAAGGGTGCGCGCCGTCTGGTAAGCGACACGAGGCGTCATACTCCACTGGTGGCAAACGTGTCAGCGTGTGAAATGATTGTCACACGACGGTACCGCCGTGCGTAGCATGTTTTGGGTAGAGAACGATAACGTAAACGTGCGTGTGACACCTCACGCAACTTTTGTTGTCAGCAGGTCCCCCCAACGCCCCTGCTCCCGCATCCTGCGTCAGGAAACACAGGCGCCCAAAGGCCATGTGGTTTCGAAGTCTACTGCTGCTCCTCTCCCTTGCAAGAGCACCCCAAACAACTCGTGCGTTGGGCGGCGTTCTTTGCCTCTCTCTCTCTCCCCCCCCCCCTTCCGTTGCGCGGCCACTTGCTTTTGTGCCGCTCAGGAGAGCAATGGAGGAGACGGTAGCAGCAGCAGCAGCAGCAGCAGCAGCAGCAGCGTCCTCGTGCTGGATGCAAGAAGCCTGGACGAAGAGCTGCAGAAGGGTGTGCCGATGATGGTGGATTTCTACGCCCCCTGGTGAGTAGCTCGTCTAGCCACTATTGCCAGTACCGCCTTTTACCGGTAGCGAGTTAAGTTGTCGAAGGCTCTCCGCCCACGAGGATATTGTGGGTTGTTGTCTTTTTTTTGTGTGTGTGTTTGTGGGTTTTGACATGCTGGGGGAGGCATGCGTTCATGGCAGCGGATCTTTTCGTTGTGCCCCCCGGTGGAAAGCACATACAGTCGTGGCCCCGGTTTAGCGGTTCCTTACCTGCTTAGGGGGGATGCCCCGAAAAGCGGTTCCAACATTTCGTGGCACACAGCTGCACCTCGGCAGTCAGAGTACTGTATTATTGTCAATCCGATGCAGCGGCGATGCCCTCAACGACGGTTATATCATTTTGTGACAGTTTGTGGCGCTATGTTTTGTGACACTACGGGCCGCTAAACCGGGACTACGACTATCACTCTTCCGGCTGAGAAAAAAGCCAAGACCGCATTCGTGTGGGCGCCGCGTAGAAGAAGCCGCGAGCAACGGTACATCTCGCGGGATACCTGCAGCGGTCGTGGGAAACAAGGTGGCCCGCTGGGACCCCAAGCTCCTAGTTCATGTGTGGTACTTGTGCGTTTATCCTTGGTTGAACACTCGCGAAAAGCGGTTCTGCCGTTTGTGGAAGTTGTTTTTTTCTTGCTTTTGGGTGTGCGGCTGTCTTTGATTCGGGATTTGTTCTTCGGCGTGGTAGGGTGTGACGCACACGGGAGATGAACGCGCAACACACGACGCGTGTCCGCGCGCCGCAGCATCGGGGGTGACCATGCGCGCATGGCTTTGTACCTGCACTATGCCGCTTGGCTTGCTCTATGCAACACCTGTAGGAGCTCTTGACAGGTCATACGATTGAGCATCAGTTTCATTTTCGCACGATTGAGCAGCCTGGGTACACCAACCCTACATATGTACAACGTACAAGCAAGTTTTGACGCCTTCGTTTCAACTAGCTCCGCGACGTCCTGCTTGGGCTCCACGGACGAGGAGCCCACACAGCCAAAGAGGGCTTGATGCTGGCCTTTCGCGTATTGTTCCGCTGTGTTGTTTTGTCGGCCACCTGCTGCTATTCTCCCTTCCACCAGCCTTTGGGGGCGTCATCGCCTCTCTCTCTCTCGCCTTCGCTAAAACGAAATTTCCGTGAATCGCGGGGGGGTGGGGAAGGTGTTGCCCGCGTGTGGAATACATCTATATACATACGGGGAAAATGTGTTTGCTCTTCTTTGATCAGGACGAGGTTTGGAGGAGGTGTTAGGGAGGATCCCCCCCCCCCCCCCCCCCCCTGTCGGGGAATATCTGGGGTTGCCCAGCAAGCGTATGGGTGAAAAGCACCTCATGGGCCATCCTTTTGAAAAATAGCCTGGTCCGGGGAACCCCCCCCG